TGCTGATGCAGGGGACACGGGTTCATGTCCCGGTCCGGGAAGATCCCACATGCCACGGAGCGGCTGGGCCCGTGAGCCATGGCCGCTGAGCCTGCGCGTCCCGAGCCTGTGCTCCGCAACGGGAGAGGCCACAACAGTGAGAGGCCCACGTACCGAAAAAAACAAAACAAAACTTCATAAAGGAAAAATGAGCAGGGTAATGTCAAAATTACTGGTGAAGAAAAAATCTTTCAACCTTCACTGAAGAACACTCACTGTGCTGACTGCTGATCACTCACCATCAACTGTGCACGGCACAGGAGCCATAGGAAAGAAGGCATCAATTGTTGATTAAATTCACTGAGATTTAATAAACTGAATCTCTCTACCTGACTATTTTTGAGGTGAAAGGGTCGGGGGGAAAGGATGCAGGACTCCACAGCATGTCTGAAAAAGAAAATGTAATAGTACCTGCACCAAATTAATTACCAACAATATCAAATATAAATCTTGTTTTGAATCAAGCATCTTTCAAATTGGAGGTAATGAAATCTTTTTTACCTAAGACAAAGGACTAAAACCAAGGATCAGGAAAAAAAACCCTGAAATTCACCAGTCAGAAGAAGGTTATACTTCTCTACATTTTGAAACAGTAAAAACAGAAATGTTCAGCTTATGTATATGGATGTCTCCACAATAATTTTTAGCCTATTGGCAAAGTTCTATGTATGTTCCAGACAGAACTACACAATATCTAACAGAAACGATATATACTAGAGCAAAAGAATATTTACAGCTCTCTAAACTCAAAGAAAACAACTATGGAAGGTGACATATAAGGTGTGTAAATAAAAAAACTATATCTTTAATTTAAAAGCCAAGGCTTCTCTAAGGTATTTAAGCAGAAACACCATATGCCCTACATGCATGTGTATGAGGACTCACCTGGCACTCTGAGAGAACAAAGGCATGAACCTGCATTCAGCCCTGATGATATAGGTGGACTGTATAGTTAAAGGATTTTTGATCCCATTATTTAACTTGATTATTTAACTTGGCTCAATGCTCAGATTTAGGCTAGAAATTCGCATTCATAAGAACCAATTTAATCATCATGTATTTGTTACACCATAAGCAGTATCAATACTGACACCACTAACTTCAGAATTCAGTGGAGACATTTCTCTCAAGAGAAACAAACAATGAAACAAGTATTTTAAATTTCTGCAGTTTTAATCTCTTCTAAACACTGCTTTCAAGTACTTCAGAAGCAATCATTTTTATGAAATAGATATGCTAAATATAAATCAGACTTTTTCCTGTTTGTTAAAATATACAATTCCCTAAAAACCTTAGACAACAGCTTATTCTCAGATGCACCTTGTCAGTTTATGGAATGACTGAGTATAAGAAATACAAAATACAAACCTTTACAATGCAAATTTTCTACAGTTGAACCTTATCCTAACTAGTCTGAGCTTTTACTGTAATAGGATTTTTTCAACAATGCGACTGCTTATGATTAATCAGTAGCATGAGAGTCACTTTTATTAAAATAGTTTATAGAACAGAACCAAAAACGTAAACATATGTTGCTCCTCCAGGGAGAAAACGCATAAAATGGATCTGTTAAATTAACTGTAAATACTAGGGAGAGTATAATATAACCAAACAGAGGCTTAGAACACACTCTGCAAATCCAATACTCTCTAGTCATGCAGGGACTGCAGTGAAATCAGTGAAAGAGTCTTCTCATTGACAGCCCCTGACAACCGCCATGAGGCAGTGCCACCAGCCAAGGACTCTCAGTATGCCCAGCTCCCTCCTAGAGAGGGAGTCTTGGCCCAGAGTGGGCAGTGAAAAAACACCAAATAAAATATACAAAACAAACTTAGCAACAGCATCAAGCTATGACAAAATCACTGTAATAATTCTCTATACATATATTATTTTTCAATTTAAAAACAAAACTATTTTAACATCCTAGACCAGGGAAGGACTGGCAGACTTTTTCTGTAAATGGCTCTGTGGGCCATGCAGTCTCTGCCACAACTTCTTAATTATGACATTGCAGGATGGGTTCCAGTAAAACTTTATTTGCAAAACCAGGCAGCAGTCTGGATTTGGCCCACAGGCTGTAGTTTGCCAGCCCATGTTCAAGACAACAGTAAGGGTACACTGCTCACCTAATTATAATGAAGAAACACGCTCATGTGTTTTTCTCAGAATTCAGACCATATAACATTTGTCCTCCAAGAAAAGAACATCACACAGAGGAACATAAGTAGGTTATGACAACAATGGGACACTTTATAGAATGGAATGCTTTATAGATTTCTGCTCCTTAAGTAACCTTCCACTTTTTTCTTTCTCTACACCCATGAGGTCAAACACTTAAGTCAAAAGGCCAAGAGCTTTAATCCTGGCTCTAATCTCTTGTCAACTACACAACCCTGGACTTTATCACAACCACTCAGCTTAAGCTGACTTGCCTACAAAACAAGCAAATCTTCTTAGAAATGGTTTAAAATGAGCTGATGTGAAAGCACATTTGGAAACTCTAACTGATGATACTATTACTACTACTATTAATCACCATAATAATGAGAGCAGCCAATATTTGCGCCAGGTGTTCTAATGGCTAATTTAACTTTCACAACTTTGTAATGTACGACTGATGCCTTTTTTTACAGCAAATGAGAAAACTAAAGGGCAGAGAGGTTTCAAGGTTGTGCAAGTAACCAATGGCAGGCTGGGACTTAAACCCAGGAAAACTTGCTTCATAGCCCAAAGAAATCACTATATTCTATTACCTCTGACAAAATGAAAGTTACTATTCTCAGCAGATAACTGCAATCTTACAAACATACGAAAACACTCAGAAATCTAGGAAGAGAAAAAGGTGGGGCTAGTGTTTTACACACTAAACTGAAACTTTTCTCACAAGTTTTTTGTTTCACTTTTTAAACAGCATTTGAAGAACATTTGTAAAACAAAGACATCTGTACAAAATTAAATAACAAAAAGAAAATGTCCCATGCGTTTTTTAATACTAGGATTTTACTCTCTTACTATATCTAAGTTGTTTCTCAAAATGCAAGGCACCCTCTATATTAAAACTCCCACAGTTATCTGGATTTTAATATTAACTTTAGGGGGGAAATGAAAATGAAACCTTTAAGCAACTGGTACTACTTTACATCCTGCCTTTTGACAGGCCACTTAATTTTCAGGAATTATAGTCTCAGCACAAACATCTGGAAAAGAATCTGAAGACTTTTTGTCTTCTGTACTCAAAGTACTATCTTTTCCTTAGTATATGCTACATGTTCTAACCAGAAGTTCCCAAATCTGGTAATGTATAGAAAAGAATGCTATCAGGAACTTTAAAAAAGTATTCCCTGCCTCCACCTCAGATGAACTGAGAAGCAGGCCCAGGATTCTGTATTTTTAAAAGATCTCATATAACTGGTGTTACCCATAAAGAATACTTGAGGTTCCCAAGAGAAGTAAAACATCCCAATATAATATGAAGATAGTTAAAAAATTTTTTAAGTCCTCTTCAACTTTTAAAGTTACAGATGTCAAGTGTTTAGGAAATCTAAATGGAAAAAAGTAAGTATCAGAAAGAACTTTCTAAGGTTTAGAATTTGATTACAATAAATACAAATGGCCAAAATTTTGATGAGCATTTCTTTCTTTTTAAAGGAAAATCATGTCCAAATTGCTTGATGCCAGCCTAGCTTCTAGGTGAGAGAACTGTGTTACAATTACAGCCACTCCCCGTGACTCATCAGGGACGTTAGCTCTGTCACTGTGTACATGTTGCAGCAGCTGTCCTTCTCCAGATAAGGTCTGTGCTGTGTCAGGGAGATTTTTAGAATTATTATGTTAACCTACAGCAGTTAAAACTAATAATCGATTATAATCCATTTTGCATGTGACATACTATAATATTCCTTAAAAAAATTATAACATTAATTACAAAGATCAGGGTTAATACAATTTATATGTCTAAAATCTGAAATTCAGAGAGAATCAGCCTCACAAATATCTAAACTCAGGGGTGCATAACAACTGTTATCTGTATGATTTCTGACAATCTTGAGGACAGCTCTCTCCCAGGGAGGGACTTCTCCCTTGCTTCTTCAGCTTCCTCAGGGAACACTCCCTGTGGTCCACTTCTGGGCATTCTATCTATATTGTTTCTCTTGGCAATTTTAGTGACTTCTATGGCTTCAGCTAACACCCTCATGCAGTAAGTCCCAAATCACCACCTTGAATCTTAAACTGGTCAGCTCTGGACCTGAAATTTCAAGTGTCTACAGAAGATCTCCATATGGATTGCTGTTAAACCCTAGGTCCACTGGTGGCCTACAGAGCCCTGGGGAATGTCCAGAATTCTTATGTAAAGTGCTACACGTATGTGTACACGTGCACTTTTCTGGAAAGAAGAGTCATAATTTTCCTCATATTCTCAAATGTATATGTGACCCCAGAGACTATAAACTCAGGTAAGTCATATACTACTAGCATAGCAGATCCTTTGGCATAAATACCAGACAGTGTGCTTTAAAGCAGAAAACAAAGTCCAGGTTAATCTCTCCACTAAAGGACTTCTACTGTATATAGTTAACTTGTCCTAAAGCTTGCTAGCATCTTCTAATGCAGTGGTTCAGCAAATTGCAACTGAGAGCCAACTTTTTTAAAATAAAGTTTTATTGGAAAACAGCCATGCCCATTCATTTACATACTGTCTACAGTTAGTTTTGTGCCACAAAGACAGAGCTGAGTAGTGACAAGACTTGGCTCACATGCCTAAAATACTTACTCTTTGGCCTTTTATGAAACAGTTTGACCTTTGTTATTCTAGATAAGAAATACCTAAATTGATAAAGAAACACGAACCTAATTTAAGTAATCCAAAGACAACCTATCTTCTAATTTTATTTCTAAGCAAAACCAGAAACATGTACCAAGCACACACACCTGTTTTATTTTAAACAACAGAGCATGATTACCTGCCATTGCTGGGCTGCTGTGGAGACTGTCTAGAATGGTCAGAAGGCTCTGACCGCTGGTCAGGAGATCGTGATCGGTTGTGACGGGGAGGCCGGTCGTGTGATCGACCGGAATGATCTGATGCCAGTGACTGAATTTCTGAAATGTCTGTTAAACAAAAGAGTGCTGTTTATTTTCCCATGAAATGACTACAGTAAAATATAAGGTACTCCAATAATAATGGAAATAAGTTACTAAATATAATTTCATATAAAATGGTTGATTTAAGCATTAACTTAATCAGCTACTATTCGATATTGGTAAGCTGTCAACAGAAAAAAATTTTTTTGAATTCTTATATTTTGAAGGTGTCTGGCTCATAGAAAATTATCATTTCATTCTAAAATGTCAAATCTTCCCACTTTAAGAAACAGGTCACTTAAAGGGTCTCTGCAAACAGAGCCACACTCACCATCTCTCTCAGAGGCATTAGCAGAGTGGATACTGTCAGAAAGATCAGGGACATTCAGCAGGGTAGCCCGCTCATCTCTCTGAACTACCATCTTTAACTTGCCTTTAGACCTCTCTATCAATGTCTTTGCATCTGTCAATGACATATTTTCCGTCACGGTACCATTTATCTGCAACAGAAAAGAAACTATAGGTTGAAGGTAAATGACAAAAATACAAACATTAACTTAGTCTGACATGAACAGGAATATCTAGACTACTCCTGGGCTTGCTCTGAGAACCAAAATATTCCCTTTACACTTTTCCTAAACTATCAAAGTACTCCTCCTTACTGAAATAATAAAATCTGTACTACACTGCTGCTCTGCCAGAAAAGCCCAAATTAGCATCTTCTTCCTCCTCCCCATCACTTTCTACTACTCATGGGCAAACTAACAAAACACATCAATAATATCTGGAGGAGTTATCGAAACCACTTAATGTGGAACAACAAACAAATCTATCTACAAAAGTAACTCCTATTAGTGAAAAACATACATTTGGCGCTATTAATTCTCGAGGATGACTCTATGCCCAAAGAAAAGCGTCAGTGTTGACATGTAATAATAGCCAGTGGCAAACTATCTAGTCCCCCAAATATTGATTTTTAATTCTTTTTGGCAAAATCGCTTCAAGCATGAACAGGAGCTATGTGGTCACACTAGAAGTTGTTTTCTACTGCAGTTCATCAAAATGTAAGAATATGACTATACCTTCAATACAACATCGCCTTCTTGAATATTGCCATCTCTTGCTGCCAAACTATCTTGTGAAATTTCCTTTACAAATATATGGCTGGCCAATCGAAGACCATATTCTGAAATAATATATTTAAATGTCTTTAGTGTAAAATCCCAAGACTCTTAAATAGAGTTTAAAAGTATGAAACTAATAATCACCACATAGAGTTTTTAAGTACAATCAGTAATAAGAAATTATTCTTGGCCTCCCTGCAAAGAAGACATTTCCTCTAATCATCAGAAAGTTTTCACTGTCAGTGTGAAAGCAAAGGGAAAGTGCGTGGTTCAAAGAGAAGACTGGCACGTCGTGCTCTCACTGTACTGAAAGAGAGAAAAATCTGAAGAGATTACCATTTCTCTCTGATGGTGTCATGCTGATGCACTAGCTTCTCAGAAGGTTTAAAGAATAAAATTCTGAAAAGGAAAACTCTGGAATCCTTTACAATTTTGTTGATGACTTGTATTACCATGCATATATTGGTTTTGTTCTCCTCAGTTCCTACAGCAGAAGTATTTTGAATCCTAAACACCTCTCTGAGAGACATACACAGAGCATCAGTGTGCACCACTCAAACAAGGGCTTAAAATGAGCCAAGCAGATGTGGGGAGGAGTTAAAGATGCCAGTCCTTCCAACGACAAAGTGCCCAAAGTGCTCAGGAGCGTGGCAACATTAATTGCACCTGTGGGTGAGGGCGTGGTCAGAGTTAAAGAAGTTACCAGGAGAGTCCAGAAAACTGTCCAGGGGGCCTGCAAAGCTGTACAATGACTACAACTAACAGTATAATGTCAATAGGAACAGGACTGCCCCAGTTGTGTTAGGAGAAAGAGTAGGACTGAGTCTTACTGGGAAAGAAAAACAAAACAAAAACAAGAAGGGAAACAGATGGGATAAGTTAGCAGACCTGCTACTCAAGCTTTTAAAAGTTACATCAGTTACAGTTCAACTTAGGGCAAATATACAAAGAGTGTTCACAAGCAGGAATAGAATCAGGGTAAAAAAAAGAAAATGACCTTCTAGGGGATCTAGGCAGTCAACTATGTGTGATTTAGAAATGGTGACTATATCTCACAGAAAGAAAGTACTGATTAAAAGACTGTCCTCATTTAAGATTTAAAAATTATAAATGACCAAAATACAGAGATGACTCTAAAATATTCCTTGTATATTAATGTATTCATTTATTCTAAGTATTTCCTTAGTAAATATTAACTAGGTGGTAGGCACTAGAGATAAAAACCAGCAATTGAGACAGTCCCTGCACTCTGGCAGCTTCCCTAGTCAGTAGGGAAAAAGTCGTTACCACAATTGCCAGTGTGATGAAGAGTTCGGATGGAGCAATACATGATTCTGTGCCTTGTGGGGGTCAGAGAAGGCCTCCCTGAGAAGCAAATGCTAAAGCTGAAACTCTACCTAAGAAATACTAACACTAAACCTGATAAATGGACTTCCCTGGTGGCGCAGTGGTTGAGAATCCACCTGCCAATGCAGGGGACACGGGTTCAGAGACCTGGTCTGGGAAGATCCCACATGCCGCGGAGCAACTAGGCACGTGAGCCACAACTACTGAGCCTGCTCGTCTGGAGCCTGTGCTCCGCCAACAACAGAGGCCGTGATAGTGAGAGGCCCACGCACCGCGATGAAGAGTGGCACCCGCTTGCCACAACTAGAGAAAGCCCTCGCACAGAAACAAAGACCCAACACAGCAAAAATAAATAAACAAATGTGGGGTTAAAAAAAAAAAAAAAAGAATATAAACCTGAGAAATGAGGTTGGGTGGGGGTGGGGGTGGTGTGTGTGTGTGTGCGCGCGCGTGTGGGTGTGTGCGTGCGTGTGCACACTGGAAGAGACAGAATGGTTAAAAACAAGTGCACCAGAAGGTATGAAGGAAAGACAAGGCAAGTTTGATGAAGTCATAAGTGTAGGGCAAGAGTCAGACAGAGAAGCATCCCAGAAGACCCTGTAACCACGTGGAGTAGTCCACAGAATGGACCAGGGAGATCCAGAGACTGGATCATGAGGCTGGGTGAATCACTTAATAGACAGTGGTGTGGTGCTCCTCACCCCCCCGTGCCCCACAACACAAAAAAGGAAAAAGTAACGATGTGTTGATTAACTTGATTGTGGTGATCGTTTCCTAGTGTATACATACCTCAAACCATCACACTGTACACCTTAAATACATACAACTTTACATATTAATATACAATGTCAGTTACACCTCAATAAAGATGGAAGAAAAAAAAAAGATGCTGGTAGCTTGGATGAGGGTGGTGGTGGTGGAGAAAGGAGGAGTAGGACAGTAAAGTGTGGTGTTTAAGAAGTTAGAAGGTGTTAACCGGGCACAGGAAAGCAGGGGAGAAAAGATGTCACGGAAAACTATACCATGCTGCCCCCAGCTGGCTTGAGAGACCGGGTAGACGGGAATATATGCAACAGGATATTTCATAAGAAACATTCCAGGAGGGAGATGTGCTGTATCTGAGGGATGCAGACGAACACCTAAGTGTACATGCCTATGACTCAGCTGGGGCACCAGGGTGCACACACTGGACCTAGGGAAGGAGCTGTGCCATCATGAGCAGCCCACGACACTGAGAGACATGAGATTTCCTAAAGATGTTATATGAAGTAGAAAAGAGATTCTAGAACAGAAATCCACAGAACACTGAAAGGTAGGATGAGGACAAAGAGCTTGCCAAGGATACAGAAAAGAAAGAGGGAGGAACCCTTGAAACCCACAGCATTACAAGAGCCAAGAGAAAACATTATTTCAAAAAACAGGGAGTGGTTAATTATTAGAGAAATGCAAATCAAAACTACAATGAGGTATCACCTCACACCAGTTAGAATGGGCATCATCAGAAAATCTACAAGCAACAAATGCTGGAGAGGGTGCGGAGAAAAGGGAACCCTCTTGAACTGTTGGTGGGAATGTAAATTGATACAGCCACTATGGAGAACAGTATGGACGTTCCTTAAAAAACTAAAATAGAATTACAGTATGACCCAGCAATCCCACTACTGGGCATATTACCCAGAGAAAACCATAATTCAAAAAGACACACGCACCCCAATGTTCACTGCAGCACCATTTACAATAGCCAGGTCATGGAAGCAACCTAAATGCCCATCAACAGATGAATGGATAAAGATGTGGTACATATATACAATGGAATATTACTTAGCCATAAAAAGAAATGAAACTGAGTCATTTGTAGAGACGTGGATGGACCTAGAGACCATCATACAGAGTGAAGTAAGTCAGAAAGAGAAAAACAAATATGGTATATTAACATATACATGTGAAACCTAGAAAAATAGTATAGATGAACCGGTTTGCAGGGCAGAAATAGAGATACAGATGTAGAGAACAAATGTATGGACACTAAGGGGGGCAAGTGGGGGTGGTGGGGGTGGGGGTGGGATGGGATGAACGGGGAGATTGGGATTGACATATATACACTAATATGTATAAAACAGATAACTAATAAGAATGTGCTGTATAAAAAATAAATAAAATTCAAAAAATATAGGGAGTGGTTAACTATGTGAAATGGTTAACTATGTGAAAAGGCAAGTAAGATAAAGACTAGAAATTTCTACCGGATTTAGTATGAACAGTTCTGGGAGCAGATACCAGAGAGAGAGGGCTGAAGAGTGGGTGGTGAACAAGGAGAAACAGCTCTGAACACAGACAGTCTGACTGAGAAGTCGGTATGGATGAGGGCAGTGGGGAGCAATAACCAGGAGACATGTCAGGTTTCAGTAAAGCGGATCAGAGCCAGCCTTCAAATACTCTTACACCTTTTTATCAAAATGATCACTCATCAACGCTTTCCTGCATGGTAGAGACACGCCCACAGCAGCAAGAAGCCACAATCAAACTCACTTGTATCCAATGTGATTACCTGAGGGGAGGCAGCTAGGCTTCAGTTTCAAAATTTTTTGCTTTTAGAGCAATATCCTGTGGGGGCTCCTCTCCCTCCGACTCTCCATTTAGAAAAGGCAGCCTGCCCTCCCTCCGAATCCAATGATTTCTACCCAGATGTAGGTACTACTGATCCTGACAGCTAAGTAAAACACTGAATTGCAGCTTGGTGATGGCGTGACATTGCTTGTATTAGCCTATTCTACTCACAAGAAGTAATCCAAAATCCAACTACTGGACAATTTATGTGAAGTACTATCTGCTACAACAAAATGATTCAAGAAGAGGAAACAGATGACCCCTGAAGCCTGACATCACAGGATTTGATTTAAAGCAACAGGGCACAAAAACGAAGATAACAGAAGACAACAAAGCAAAGATATAAAGTGATGGCAAATTTACTTCTCATTAAAATTAGTCTTAAAATTTTCATGTGAAAATGGTAAACGAGTTGGTAGAAAATACCTTCGTTTTTCCGGGATTTCACCAGTGTGACTTTGGTGGGTCTGGCAGGTTGACTGGAAGCCACAGATCGCCTATCAGATCGCGGAGACAGACTCCTCTCTCGACTTGCACTTCTATCCCTGGCCCAGCTCTTTTCACTCCTCCTGTTAACCATGCCCCCACGGCCACTTCTCGGGTCGTGTACTTCCTCATCATAACTATCTTCTTCATTCTCAGATACTGGTTCAGGATCAGGACGACTTACTGGTATCTGAACTTTCTTTTTCCTTCGAATGGTCTACAAATAAGAAAGATTACAATATGAGCTGATTTTCATATATGTACTTTCAGTTCTTAAGAGAGGAAGATCACATTTTTCTGGTCTCATACTCATTATGAATAAGAGATATAATACACAAATATAACAAATTACTAAGGAATACTTTTCTATATTGGTTATCTTTTCTGCTCTCCTGGTAGACAGATCTGGTTAAGAAGCAAATTTGGAATAGAGGGCCTAATAAAGTTCTTAATTAATTCAGAAGATCTTCTATGTGTAATAATTACAAGCTTACAGGAAAACTTAATAATTACTGGTGTAAATAATTACTGGTGGTTTGAATAAAGGAGGGAGCACTGTACTCTAATACAATCAAATATACTGTAGTTGTTACCAAACCAGAGCAAACTTGCAGGCCCAACTTGATTCCTTAAAAATTTCAGAATCCATGAGTATCAAGGCCCACAACTGTCCTACTGGGACTCTAAGAAATTTATTGTACTTCCACACTAACACTGAAGTTACTGTTGTGTTGGAGCTAATAACTCCATGATACTCTACCAATACAAACTTTGTTTCTCTCTCTCCAAAATTTGTAATTTATGGTCTATGCATAAATTCCTTCTTCTGGCTTTCTTTACTCAATTGACTCTGATACTGGTTCAATTTTCCCTGTCCACTTATTTCCTTTACTTTCTGTAAGATCAAGATCTATTTGCATTGCCTTCTGACTGAGTGGCCTCTTAATCCCTGGACTGCACTCTGTCTTCTCACACCAGTATACCTTTGATCTCATCAGGGATCTGCAAGATCTTCTTGAGTAACACTCCTTGTCTTCTACTTCTGACACCCTGATCTACTGAAACTTCTCCATGTCCATCTTATGTCTGACTCCTCCATGCCCTCCTATTCTCCTAGTCCATCAATTCCCTCCTGGTTTCAACTGCCTTCCTCCCAAGTTTGATGAGTTGTCATGCTTCGATATTTAAATGATTTTCTCTAGCCCCGGCATACCACAGCCCTGTACCTGCTGAGTCAGGACCCAGCCCACCCCAGTAGGCTGGCACCAGCCCCTGGACCCCCAGGGCCCTGCAGCCAGAGACTCCATGACCAGCCTGCCTACCCTGGGCACTAGCCCTGGGACACATAGGACCCTGACCCTGTCCACCAGTAGGCCGATACTAGCTCCGAAACACCTTGGACCCATCAGCCAGCCACTCTGGGATCCAGCCCCACTCACCAGTAGGCTTACAAAGCTTTGGAACACCCCGAACCCTGCAGCCAGTGATGTCTGAAACCAGCCTGCTCACCAGCAAGCCTACACTAGGACCCCTGGCCGCACAACCAGCCACCCAGTTCTACCCACCAGTGGGCCAGCACTAGAGAGAGAGGGCCCAAATCAATAATATCAGAAATGAAAAAGCAGAAGTTACAACTGACAGCACCGAAATACAAAAGATCACAAGAGATTACTGTGAACAATTATACGCAAATAAAATGGACAACCTAGAAGAAATGGACAAATTCCTAGAAATGTACAACCTCCCAAGACTGAACCAGGAAGAAATAGAAAATATGAACAGACCAATTACCAGTAATGAAACTGAATCAATAATTTAAAAACTCCCAACAAACAGAAGCCCAAGACCATATGGCTTCACAAGTGAATTCTACCAAACATTTACAGAAGAGTTAACATGTATCCTTCTGAAACTCTTCCAAAACACTGCAGAGGAAGGAGTGCTTCTGAACTCATTCTATGAGGCCAGCATCACCCTGAGAGCAAAACCAGACAAAGATATCACACAGATATCACACAGAAAAGAAAACTACAGGCCAATATCAATGATAAACATAGATGCAAAATTACTCAACAAAATATTAGCAAACTGAATTCAACAATACATTAAAAGGATCATACACCATGATCAAGTGGGATTTATCCCATGGATGTAAGGATGGTTCAATATCCACAAATCGATGCGATATATACCACATTAGCAAACTGAGGAAGAAAAATTTTATGATTGTCTCAATAAATCTTGAAAAAGCTTTTAATAAAATTCAACATCTACGTATGATTAAAAAAAATTCAACAAAGTGCATATAGAGGGAACATACCTCAACATAAAAAAGGTCATATATAAGCCCACAGCTAACATGGTGGGCTCAATGGTATAAAGCTGAGAGCATTTTCTCTAAGATCAGGAACAAGACAAGGATGCCAACTGTCGCTCTTTTATTGAACTTAGTGTTGGAAGTCCTAGCCCCAGCAATCAGACAAGAAAAAGAAAAGGAATCCAAATTGGAAAGGAAGAAGTACAACTGTTACTGTGTGAGGATGACATGATACTCTATAGAAAATCCTAAAGGCATCATGAATAAACTTCTAGAGCTCATCAATAAATTCAGCAAAGTTGCAGGATACAAAATTAATACACAGAAATCTGTTGTATTTGTATACACTAACAACGAACTATCAGAAAGAGAAATTAAGAAAACAATCCCATTTACAAATTGCATCAAAAAATAAAATCCCTGGGAATAGGCTTCCCTGGTGGCGCAGTGGTTGAGAGTCTGCCTGCTGATGCAGGGGACACGGGTTCGTGCCCTGGTCTGGGAATATCCCACATGCCGCGGAGCGGCTGCACCCGTGTGCCATGGCTGCTGAGCCTGCACGTCCAGAGCCTGTTGCTCCACAACAGGAGAGGCCACAACAGTGAGAAGCCCGCGTACCACAAATTAAAAAAAAAAAAAAAAAAAAATCAAAAAATAAATAAATAAAAATAAAATCCCCGGGGCTTCCCTGGTGGCGCAGAGGTTGAGAGTCCGCCTGCCGATGCAGGGGACACGGGTTCGTGCCCCGGTCCGGGAAGATCCCACATGCCGCGGAGCGGCTGGGCCCGTGAGCCATGGCCGCTGAGCCTGCGCGTCCGGAGCCTGTGCTCCACAACGGGAGAGGCCACAACAGTGAGAGGCCCGCGTACCGCAAAAAATAAAAAATAAAAAAAAATAAATAAAATCCCCGGGAATAAATCTAACTAAGGAGGTAAAACACCTATACTCGGAAATATAACGACACCAATGCAAGAAACTGAAGACAACAGGAACAGATGTAAAGATATACCAAGTTCATGGACTGGAAAAATTAATATTGCTAAAATGACCATACTATCCAAAGCAGTCTAAATATCCAGTGCAATCCCTGTCAAAATGCCAATGGCATTTTTCACAGAACTAGAACAACTAATTCTAAAATTTATATGGAAACACAAAAGACCCCAAATAGCAAAAAACGAACAAACAAAAACAATCTTGAGAATAAAGAACAATGCTGGAGGCATCATGCACCCAGATTTCAAACTATACTATATGGTTACAGTCATCAAAACAGCATGGTACTAGCACAAAACCAGACACATAAATCAATGGAACGGAATAGAAGGCCCAGAAGATGAATCCACACTTACATGGGCAATTAATCTATGACAAAGGAGGCAAGAATGTACAATGGGGAAAAAACAGCCTGTCCAATAAATGGTGCTGGGAAAACAGGACAATTACATACAGAAGAATCATACTGGACTACTCTCTCATATCGTGCACAAAAATAAATTCAAAATGGATACAAGATTTAAATATAAGCCCTGAAACCATAAAACTCCTAGAAGAAAACATAGGCAGTACACTATTTGACATCAGTCTTAAAAATATTTTTTGGATATGCCTCCTCAGGCAAGGGAAACAAAAGCACAAATAAAGAGGACTACATCCAACTAAAAAAGCTTTTACACAGTGAAGTTAACTATCAACAAAACAAAAGGGCCGCAGATGCAATGGGAGAAGATATTTGCAAATGATACGACCCACAAGGGATTAATATCCAAAATATACAAAGAACTTACACAACTCAACGTCAAAAAAACAAACAACTCAATTAAAAACTGGGCAGAGGATGTGAATAGACATTTTTCAAAGAAGACATACAGATGGCCAACGGGCACATGAAAAGATGCTCAATATCACTAATCATCAGTGAAATACAAATCAAAACCACAATGAGGTATCACCTCCCACCTGTCAGAATGGCAATTATGAAAAAGAAAACAAATAACAAGCACTGACAAGGATGTGGAGAAAAGGGAACACTCATGCTCTGTTGGTGGGAATGTAAATTAGTCCAGCCGCTATGCAAAACAGTATGGAGACTCCTCAAAAAATTAAAAATAGAACTACCGTATGATCCGGCAAATTCCACTCCTATTCACCCAAAGAAAATAAAAACACTAATTAGAAAAGACATTTATGGGAATCCCCTGGTGGTCCAGTGGTTAGGACTCTGCACTTCCACTGCAGGGGGCATGGGTGCAATCCCTGGTCGGGGAACTAAGATCCTGCATGCCACGAGGCCAAAAACAAAAAACAAAAAAGGGGAGGGGAGGGGAGGGGAGGGAAGAAAGGAAAAGGAAAGGACATTTGCATGCCTCTGTTCATTGCAGCATTATTTATGATATCCAAGATATGGAAGCAAAGCAAGTGCCCATCAACAGATGAACGGATAAAGAAGATTTGATACACACACACACACACACACACACACACACACACACACACACACACACGAATACTACTCAGCCATGAAAAAGAATAACATCTTGCCATCTGCAACAACACAGATAGACCTGGAGGGTATTACACTAAGTGAAATAAGTCAGACAGAGAAAGACAACTACTGTATGATTTCACTTATATGTGGAATCTACACAACAAATGAACGAACATAACAAAACAGAAATGGAGTTATACAGATACAGAGAACAGGCAGCTGCCAGCGGGAAAGGAACAGGTGAGACAGATCAAACAAACTTCCAGTTGCAAAATAAATGAGTCATGGGTATGAAATGTATGGTGTAGGAAACACAGTAACTACCTAGTATCTTTGTATGGTGACGTATTGTAACTAGATTTATCCTGGAACCATTTTGAAATGTAGAGAAATATAGAATCACCATGTTGTG